ATATCACAATAGTATTTAAAATTTAAACTTAGACTTTTAAATGAAGCTTAAGAGATAAAACATTAAAGTCTAACGAGCCGTATGTCAAATTTTGTGTTCATCACATTCAAACTAATAAAAGCTTTCATATTTAATCGAAAAAATAGATTTTAAACTTAAAATAACTAATTTTTTTCTATCTTTGATATGTTTTTAGACATACGATTGGTTAGAAATTGAATATATGACTCAAAACTTATTTGAAAATGTTGTTTTCTTTAGTTAATGCTATCTCTATCTCATTTTATACCAAAAAATGATACCTCAACTAAAAAGCAAAATTTTATACCTGAACTCAAATAATTTAAAAAAATTTTAACGTCATTTAATTTCAGAAATACGAAAGAACTAAAATTTACTAAATTTCGTTTTTTTATTATTTAATTGGGCTAAAAAAATTCAGTTAAACATAGCCTTTTTACTAAAACGCAAAATTCGTTTATTTTCTAAAACGTGCAATAACTGCGTTGAGAATGAAGAAATATACTTTATTGAACTAAAACGAAACATCGTCGCTTGCTGAACTTCTAGATCTTGATTATGTATTGCTGACTTAGCAGATCGAGAACTGTCATAAAAAAGAAATAAACACTAATAAGCATGGGTTGTTATCCATAGATATTAAAATTTTTTTTTTGTCTTTCCTGCAGAAAAATAACGTTTATTTCAATTAAAAAAAAAAAAAATTTAGTTACTCAAATCATATGTAATATTTATTTATACCTCAATATTCTCACAACTACAACGATTAGTTATCTAAATTTCTGCATAATTATCAGCATTTAGTTGCTTATAGATGTAGTAAATGGCTGTGAAGCGTCAGACCCTAGGCCGGGTGAATAAAAAAAAGCAATTGCTTTTACACAGTAATTGGTCAGCTTTACGTGAATAAAAATTTCAGCAATTTTGGTTAAGTTTTATTTACGTAAAAATGAGCAAGTACTGAGTAAATTGCTTAACATTACGTGAAGAAAAATTTGTGCTAAACTGCTGAAGTTTTTATTCACGTAAAACTGACCAATTAATGAGTAAAAGCAATTGCTTTTTTTTGATTCACCTGGTCTACATAAGTAGGCTGGGTTAATAAAAAAAAAGCGTAGTAGCTTTTACTTTTACAATAAGTAGCTGCATTATGCACAACAATACAAACAAAAATATACGTGGGACTAGTATCTCTTGACTTACTTCAAAATAAAATAAGTACGCGTTTGTTTATATTAGGCCGAATGAATAAAAAAAGCTATTGCTTTTACTCAGCGTTTTTTTTATTTGCCCGGCCTAATATCTCGTAAATGTGATTCCTGTATAAGCACTTCCTGTATAAGCAAGAAATCCAGGGGAAAAAACCTAGCTTTGAACATATTGTCCCCTCAGTATTATCTTGTTCTATTTACAAATATAATAAATAAAATGTTCTATCTAATATATAAAATAAATACAAAAAATATATGTATATAAATAATTACAATGTTATAGCTGATATATTATATTATATTACATAGAACATTGTATTTATTTATATATAATTTTTTTTGCATTTATTTTACATATTAGATAAAACAATTTATTTATTACATTTGTAAATAGAACAAAATAATACTGAGGGGACGATATTTGACTCGATTGGTGAGAAAGGAGGCGTAGACTTCCTATTTAAATGTTCTTCCGCGGTGCTCTGTGACATGACCCTAAGGTCTTCTTAGGGCACCTAAAACAAAAATATATATATTTTTTTAATTTACTTTAATTTACTCTGGTCCCTTGAACTTTGTGGCCTTCCGGCACGTTACCGGTGTGACCTTGGGTAAAATTGACCCTGGCTTGCTCTGTCAAAAAAACTTTAAAGTTAAAAGCAAAAGCAAAACCTCAATGACAATCTTTCAATATAGAAGCGCAAACGCCTTATTTCGGCCTTTTTAAGCTTTGTTTCCTGAAAGCCTTTTTAAGCTTTGTTTCCTGATTTTGAAAAAAATTGTATAGGGTTTAACAATAATTAATAGAGACTTTATATTACATGGATGGTTAGTTTTTTATATTACAATATATGAATAATAATTTTGTATTACATCTTTACTTTGTGTAATTGTTTTGTTTATAAACGATTATGGGTCACACATTAATTACCATACAAGCTTATTTTTCAGTCAAAATGAATTCCTGTTTCATTTTTTCCACTCGCATCATATCTGTTACAAGTTGTAGAAAAACTTCAAAACTGATTTTAGTTTTTGGTACCTTTGTTAAAGCATTTGTAAAAAAATCTACGAACTTATTCACTAAACATTACAAAATTTATCGAAGTATATATAACTACTGAAATTCTCTTTGAGATGGAAAAAGTAAATTATTAGAATGGACGGGTGGTTTCATTGTAAAGTAACACGGCTTTAAGGTTCTACTTCTGAACCGTCGATACCAGCATCATGGAAAACCTGGAAAACTATGTTAAAAAGTCAGGGAAATTTTAGGGAATTTATTAAATTTTGCAAAAATCATAGAAAAGTCAGGGTGTTTTGATGGAGCCAATAACAAAATATACTTTTTTACTTAATAAAGACAAAAAAATTTTTTACTTCATACTTTATTTAATTTTTTTTTGTTTTAAAAATGTTTATTAATTTACAGCAAACAGTTTTAAAAAGAAATTCTAATATTTGGGTAAAGTTGTGTGAGTTTTATTAGTTGCCTTTTTATTGCTACATTAGTTAAATTTACATGAGTAAGTCAGGGAAATTTCAATTTAGTCAGGGAAAAGTCAGGAAAAAGTCAGGGAAATTGAAATAAAAAATGTTTGACCACCATGTATATGTAATACCGATAGCTTTGAAAAGACCGGCCACATTATGCAGTAACACAAGCCCTCTTTCTAACCTGAAGTATAAAAATGTTTGCTATAAGTTCTAATGTTTGAGTCAGAAAACCAGAAGCTTAGCATTCGACTTGTCAAGACCTAGACCAAAAACGTCATCAATCTCAGACTCAATTGTTAACGTTTTTTTTTCTGTTAAAGAAGTGCGGTATCCTCTCATCAACCACGCATGCGTAACTTTAACTTTTCTCTTCTATATCTTCCTTGCTATCAAAATTCTACTAATTTTTTTTATTTAGGTACCATAAAAAACAATAACATTCTTATCACAGAACACCGCGGAATAGCATTTAACCAAGAAGTTTACGCCTTTTTCCTTTCCAATGACGCATATATGGCCAGAGACAACTTTGAATCAATGGACCTCCAGTTGTAAAGCTAGAACTCTGACCACTACACCACGACAGCTTAATGACACTATCTAAACAAAATTTGTTTTGCCATTAAAGAACCTGGAAAAAGTACACAACAATAAAAACAATTCACAGAAATACACGCCAGTTTAAGTATAAGCAATTTACAAAAATTTTCGCAAATTATATCATGTATATACACGTAATTTGTGTATATACGTGTATATACAACATGTATATACACGTAAACAATATCTTTTATCACGTAAAATATATACACGATAGTATAAACAATACGCGACAATATAAGTATAGATAATTATTCCTTTAGTATTCGACAAATATATTCTGGTGTTAAACCTTAGAGTTAAATTTATTAACTTAGAGTTAGAATATATTTGGGTGTTAAATCTTATAAGCCATTGTTATTAGGATTAGCCATTAGTTGGATGGTCCTTCACAAAGCATTATATTTGTTTCTTTTATTTATTTATTTATCTTTTTCATATTCATGTTCTTTTTAATATATTTTTTTGTTATATTTGGTATACATGGTATAAATACATTTTTTTCTTGTTTATAAAACGTTTTTATGTTTTCATTCATGGTTTATAAAAATATATTTTTAAAATGTAGTCATAAAATAGTCTGCTTTTCCGAAAAAAAAATTCTATTTTTTAGGCTTCCATAGTCCTGTTTTTTTAGAAAAAATTTCCAGTTTTTTACTAATGACCCAGTAGGAACTCTGTAAACTCTATGTTTAAACTCATATCTCAAAAGCATCTTCTTGGGAATTGGCAAACAATTTTTAGAGGTGGAAATTTTAAATTTTTACAGAGCGTGGAACCTTTAAATAGTTTAACATAATTTCATTAATACAAATATAAAACAATGATGTTTGTAAAAAATCCTGGTCAATGGAGGCTGAGCTAAAACCCAAAAATTCTGGCCTCTTCCTGGCACCATTTTATTTTTATTATACTAACATTCGCTATTTACGTCAAATTTGGGAAATTCTCTGGGAAATTATTGTATGCAAACATAGTCATAAGAAATATTATTCTTATGACTATGATGCAAATAACAACAATGTACTGAAATCCGGGATTTGCGAAATACATGACATCGGTATTATTTAATCCCGGTGATTGTGGATGCTTCCCGTAAACACGGTATCGACTTTATCCCGGCGTTGGAAGCACGTGTACTGGCATCACAATAAATACAATAGTTACAAAAAATACAATAAATAGCACATAATATTTTTAAAAGTTGTTCGTTGCGTTGTATCAGATTATTTTGTGGCAGAACAAATTAAAATAATGCAATAGAATAAATTATTTTACTAAAAAAATAATTTCTGTAACGCAATTAGCATGTCAAACAATCATTTTAGAGTACACTATTGAATGTTAGAATGTGTTATTGTATTGTGAAAAAATAATATTAAATTTTATTGCAAAACAGATTATTGTATTTTAACAATCTAATTATCTGTTCTGCAATAAAATACTGTGTTCTAAACAACAATAAAACTTTCTAAAATACAATAAAATAACATGCTCTACAATTATTGTAGAGCACGTTATTTTATTGTATTTTAGAAAGTGTTATTGTCTTTTAAAACTTGTTAACATTGTATTTTGTGCTATTACAATATATGTATTGTAACAATACAATAACATCTTTAATTTAACAATACACTGTATAATGCTGAGCATTCAAAAAAAAAAAAAACCTTGTAATAGCACAAAGTACAATGTTACAATAAAATAGCATGTTCTATACTTTTTGATAGCATATCCTACAATACAACCACTTGTTATATTTGTTTTGTTTAAAGAAATGGATGAAATATCCTTTAATAATGACAATGAAATGAGCACGCAAGGTATGCTGTTGCTTGATAGTTTTTTTTATTTTATTGCACAAATTATTTATATAGGCAGGAGAGCATAAAAATAAATGTTAAAAAAATTCTTATAACTATTCAGAAAAAAGGGAGTAAATCATGAACAATTTATATATATATATATATATATATATATATATATATATATATATATATATATATATATATATATATATATATATATATATATATTTATATATATATATACATATATATATATATATATATTATATATATATATATATATATATATATATATATATATATATATATATATATATATATATTATATATATATATATATATATATATATATATATATATATATATATATATATATATATATATATATACATACATACATACATACATACATACATACATATATATATTTATATATGTATAAGCTAAGCTAAGTTAAAATCCATTTTAATTTGCATAGCAAAAAAACATCCTATGCTACAATATAACTCCTAATGAAAAAAACTGCAACTGTCTAAATAAAAATTTCTGTCCATTTATTCAATAAAATTTTAGCAAACAACATTGTATATCAACCACTTTAACCTCTGCTTACCACGATGCCTCTCCTAATTATTTGTATTTTTAAACAGTTTTTTACTTTGTTAACTTGGTTTAAATATAAGGTTAATGTGTGCAAAGGCATGAAACTTTAAGTATGATCAAAAAGTAATGAAAAGGCATGAAACTTTAAATACCATCAAAAAGTAATTTTTTTCTCATCTAACAGCTGGTATAGTCTCTGGCTATATTAGCCGTCTCAAAACAATGTTTTCATTAATTTTGTAATTTCATACATTTATTGTTACTGCTAAGTTTTGTCAGCAAAGAAGTAATAGTGGGCTCACTTCATAAGAAAGAAGTTCCAGATTTGATCCTCACTCTTTCTCTGGTAAGACTACGCTTAACTTTTTTCTCCATACAGTAACCTTGTTTGTCAAGGTTCATGTTTTGGAGTTGAAGAGTTGAGCTTACTACTTTACTATAGTGACCAACTTTTTGATGGGCCTAATTTATCAGGGCTACAACCATATCTATTGTTGATTGGGCTAATAAAGTATATACAAGTATATATATATATAATAAAGTATAGGCATTTTTTAACTCAGGGCTTTGGAGCCGAGGTCTAAAAGTTGGCTCCGGCTCCAGGCTCCGGCTCCATTAGAATTTTTGGCTCTAGCTCCAGCTCCAGCTCCGGAGCAGCTTCGCAAAAAAAAAATAATCAAAAAATTATTTTAATTGTTTTATGACAGTAACTTAAATACTACTAATATTTTAATAATCAAAATCTTGATTCATCCTTAAAAATAAAATATTGTCTAATATATCTGGTTTGAGTGAAGGACGCAGATCGCTCGATATAAACTTAAGAGCAGAAAATAGCCTCTCTACACTTGCTTGTGAGACAGGCATACAAGTGACAACTCTGCACGCTTCTTGTATTCTTTTTGGGTACTCTTCAATTCCCTCAAAAGCTGACTTTACTTTTAAACATCCCATTTCTTCCATTACTCTACAACCGTCCATAAAATTTGTATTAAAAGTATTTTTATCATTAAAACTAATTTTGCTCAAACTTCTTTTTTCTTTTTTATCAAGCTCTTTTTCAAAGTCATCCTCTTCTCCATTGGAGTTAGATTCACTTAAAACTGAAAGAGGTGTTGTAGATGGCTCAGCAGTATTTCCTTTTATTTGACTTTCTATCATACTTTTAGCATCTCTTTTATAAATTTTTTCTGCTACTGTTTTTAAGCCTTGTTCTGCTTGTATTATTTGGTTTTCTTCCAACAGTATTCTATATCTGGCATCAACATAAACTGCAGCTAGAAATATATTGTTATCAAAAAGTTTTCCTTCTTGTTTCTGCATTGATTTTGAAATGTCTTCTGCAATTAGTCCTTGATTCTTCTCTAGGTCAGATTTCAATTTTAACCATTCCTTTAGGAATTCTCCTGGAGTGATGTCGATTCCTTGAAGTTTAACTGCCACATCATACAGCTTTTTTAAAAGGTTGCGAAGATGACTCAACTCATTCCATATTTCAGAGTGTAGAAAGAATATCTGATCAACTGCAGCAAATTGCTCACACAGTGGACGCAAAAGTAATAATCGTTTAATCATCCGGAATGTAAAACCCCAGCGTGTCACATTATCCAAAATTGGAACGACCTTGTATTGCTTCCTTGCCAATGATATTGTATGTGAGTTTTTTAGTTTTTTTACATTATGGACTTTTGTCAAAAGTTGGGCAATGTATGGTTTTTTAAAGCATCGCGAATAGCTAGCTGCAAAGTGTGAATAACACAGCGCTTAATGTAATGAGACAATTGATGACACCAATCTGGGAGGACAAAGGCTAGATTTTCTTCCCAAGCTGCAGCACTTTCTTCCTCATTTGTATCCTGTTGTAAAAACTCTTCTTGTTCTTCGTCCTGCAAGGCTTCATCTTGAAAATTTTCATCACCAGAATATTTGTTTAAAAGTGTGACTGCTCTAATCATATTAGCTGCATTGTCTACACTTGCACATACTATTTGATCTTTGCTGATACCAAATCTATATAGAGTTTCTTCCACCATTTTTTTGATAGCAGAAGAGTTGTGCTGTCCTTCTGTCTCTATCAGTGCCAAAGTTTTAACTTGATTTTTCCCGCATGATAATATTGAATATTTATTCCCAAATAGTTCTTTTGGTGTCGAGTGGCTGTATCTATTTTCACATATAAAAATTTCTGTAGCAGTATTTCTTTTATTTCAGCTTTCTTTTTTCAGCAAATTCATTAATTAAATTGCATACAGAATTGTGTCCAGTACTGAATCCAAGAGTTACCTAATTGGCCAGTAACCAACAGAAATCCTTCATCCGCAAATGTTTTCAACGAAACTCCGTTATTCACTACCATTTTAATAATTCCCATTTTAAAAGTTTTAGCACTAACTTGATTTATTGTTCTACTACTAGTGATAGCAAAAGAATCTAAAGTAGACTGCTTTGATTTTTTAGTATTGATATCTTGTGAATGTGATAAAAATGATTCTGAAGATTTTCTTTTGGTCATAAGGCTCATTTCAGATTCAACAATTTTATATTCTGATAAATATGATCTTTCCAAATGCTGTTTCATATTGTAAACTTTTGATTTTTTTATTTGCACGCCGCATGAAATCACTTTATCATTTATCTTTTCTGTAATCTTGCATGTTGCCAGTTTTGTAATTTTATAAATTGAAAAAAACTTATCTAGAAGCCTCTCAGGATTGTTTGAGTTTAAAGCCATTTTTATTAAAAACTATAGATAAAATAAACGACAATTAACCATTATATAGCACTATATATATCTAATTCGCATTAATAATAAATAAAAACTTAACTATTCATTGATTAATTTTAATTGGAACTCGCATGTTTTAAATGTTTTAACTTATTAAAAACGTTAAAACGAATCATGTGACTTAACACATGGATAAAGTATATTTTCATTAACCAATCATTGACATTGTTTAGAAGTTTTGTTTTAAAGTAACTTATCAAACTCAATAATATGAACCACATGACATATTACACAAAATAATTTGATAATAATTAAATTCTCAAAAAATTCTGAGAGTTTAATTATTATCAATGTCTGAGAGTTTAATTATTATCAATTATATATTAATATCACAATATTATAAAACATTTAATATTATAATTATAATTGCTAGTTTACCATTTTATTAAGCATATGATAAAATGCTATATTTAGAAATATAGCAAAAAAAATAGAGGTCAATGTTTTCAATTTTAGTGTTATCTATGTGAAGTATAATTGGATCAAATAATGAGGTATTATAGGGTGGCCACTCAAATTTGAAAGTAAAACTCCATGACTTTTCCATGACTCTTCATATACTTTTATTATAAATCACTTGAGTAAAATATTCAGTACTTGCCATGCACTAAACATTTGCAACTTGGTCATTATAAAGCATGCAAACCAAAAACTAATTTGTAGAAAGTTATAAAATCATGTCTGAAAAAAAATATTTTTCTTTTACTTCTCTTATAACTTACACTGCAAAAAATATCTTTTTCATAATGCACTTAGACTAGACATTTGGGTGTCCCAAAAAAAAAAAAAAAAAGCTCTCTACTGATTCCCATTCTATGTGACCTAAATAAGTACTAAAAAAAATTTGACAGTTTAATTTTGACAGGAAGTGCTAGATGTAAAATCTGAATTTTACTGTTTTAATGTTAAGCTGGCTTAGCATTAATAGAAAACACAATTTTTTTTACATTTTAGAAAATTAAAACAAAACATTTAAATGCGTATATATCATTTCCAATTGTTTTCTACTATTTAACTTGATATATTATATTTAAAACTATTATTGAGCCATTCTTTTATACTTGCTCTTGATATTTTGAAGAAAAGGTAGCTTTGCTCGGAAATCAACTCAGGTAGCTATGTGGTCTCTCCAATTTGTACATTTGATGGTTTGCAACGCTGAAATTCATTTGGATCTTCAAACTCAAGTAGAGCTAACAGCATTCTTAGCTTTGTTTCAGAAGGAACTTCTTTATCCCCAAAGGACAAAAAACAGAGTTGCGGAATTAAGTACCACCTATGGCGTCCCATGCTAAGAAGCAAAGCATTTCCAATATTCTTATTGACTTTTCTCAATGCATAGGCTATCTGGATAGCTTTCAAATTATTGTAGGGAGCCAGAAATCCTAAAAAACTTTTCAAAAACCATGGAACATAGCAAATTGCAATGAACAAACTTGCATCCTTCAACTGATATCTTTGATCATATAAAGAGTCAGGATGTAGATCGCATCTGCTAAAAACCTTGCCTCATGGCAGGCACCAGGATGATGGAACTTAAAATCTTGCACTTTTGCTTGAAGGAAGAAGGAGGCAAGCTTACAAACTATACCATAATCATTCCTTGAAAACACCATATCAGTAGTTG